TTTTTTTTTCTGTTACCTAGCTCACAGACCTGCGTGTGGAGGGTTTGAAACCCAATCTGTGCAACAGTCCCGAGGGGTCTCTAAGCCCTACCTTTACATGCACTCACCCGAGAAGACGCTGGCAGGTAGGGGAGGCTGCTGGGCTTCCCAGACCTTTCTTCCCACCCTCCCCTCGCTGCTGAGACACCCCACTGGGCAGATAGAACCAGACATATAGACCCTTGGAGATAGACCCTTGCTAACCTCAAGGCAGATAGACCCTTGGAGAAAACCAGATTCCAACTCTAAGCTCCTTTCCAGCCTGGGGTGGGGGTAACACCTCCAGGGTTTGAAGGGAGATTCTTGTAGGGGGGATTTTCCTTGGGCTAAGGAACAGGTCCTGATCTGAGATGGTGTGGGGCTAGTTTGCAGGAAGGGCAGCCCGGAGGCATTTCTCCCCCACATCTCTGTCTCCCCATTGCAAAATGGGTCAGAAAGGCTCTGATGAGAACAAGGGTCAGGTGCCTGGAACATGCTGCAACTCCGCCCAGCCCAGGAAGGATAGAAGTCATCTCCACCCTTGGCTTATTTATTTTCCTTAATGTTGGGGGATGGGGGGCAGGGGGCGCTCCTGGCGCAATCCTCTCCCTTTGTGTCCCATGAGCAACCTGAGGCCAAGCGAGCTCTGCCTGCGGGGATGAGTGGGCAGAGGTGACCGCAGGTGGTGCCAGGCCCGCTCAGGAGAGGAGGGGCCCAAGGAGCGCCTTCTTAGCCTGGCCGCTGACACTGAGTTGCAGAGGTCACGAAAGCAGCAGTAGATGAGGTGGGCAGTCCCAATGCTGTCAGGGTCAGTGGCCTGGCAGGAGCTGGAGCAGGAGCGGGTCACCACGGCGATCTGGTTGAAGGGGTACTCTGCAGGGTGGACAGGCGTCAGAGCACACCCCACTGCAGTGCCTGCCTGGCTCTGCGCACCCTCACACAGCTCCCAATCTCCGTGCTTTTGACCTTGTCCTTCCTGCCTCCTCCAGCCCTACCCTGCCATATCCCCATCCCTAATGGTCCAGATCTGGGAGGTGGTCTATAGCCACTCCACTGCTGATTGTGACACATTTGTTATTAGTCACTAGCCCCTGTGGAGCACCTGCAGTGTCAGCCTGAGATGGGAGCTGAGCCTGAGGCTGAGACAGTAGTGCCCCCACCCCACCCTCAGTGTCTGGTGCCCCAGGGCCGGGTCCCTGAGGGGACTGTGCCTCCCTAGCTGCAGGTGTCCCCTCTAAAGTGGGGAAGCCCACCCTGTTCTTCCCATCCCTGCCTCCCAGCCAAGAGGAACAATGGGAGAAGTTTAGGGGAGGTGGCCCTGCCCCTGTACACCCCAGGTCTGCCACAGTGCCCTGCCTCACCCGCCTCCACCGTCACCAGTGTAGTAATGCAGGCTGTGTCCTCCGGCTTGCAGTAAGTGATGTTCTTGCACGAAGACATGGCCACAGGCTGCTCACAACTGTAGCACCTGAAGGCTTCACCTGGGTGAGGGGTGGGGGCAGAAACTCATCACCTGGCCTTAGAGGGCCCATCCCAGAACCAGGAGGACAGGGCTGGAGGAAACCTGCCGAGAACCTTCCAGCCCCGGTGGGCTGGCTAACAGGCCTCTACGCAAGCCTCCATCTCCCTTTCTAGAGAATGGGGTCATGTCCGCTGTCCCAGGGTGAACTTGGGCTCTAGGACCCAGGAGGCTCATTAAGAATGAGGAGAGCAAGCCCCATGGGGTCGTCAGGTGGCCTTCAGCCACACAGTCCGCCAACAGACCCATCGCTCTAGGAGGTGGGCAAGCTGAGGCCCAGAAGCAGGGTCCCTTGCCAGCTGCACCCCGGCCTGCTCACCACAGCCCATGCTCCAGGCTGCCACGAACAGCAGCGCGGCCCAGCGTGAGGCCATTCCTTGGTGCTCAGCAGCCGGCTGCGAGAGCCGCTGGCTGCTGAGGATTTATACCCGGCTCCTTGAGCACTTGCTCCCGGGCGGCGGCAGCAGAACCGGCCCTGTGAGTCAGGAGGTGGCAGAACAGGGAAGCAGCTGGCAGGAGCATCCTCACTTGCATCCCTCAGGGGTGGAGCCTGGGAGCCCCGTCTGAGCACCACGGCCTGCCCTGTGCTTGCACCTCCCGTGCCTGGGAATGCCTTCTCCCCAGACATCCTCGGTCTCCTGGGACAGCTCTGACCAGCCTTTCCCATGGAGCTTGGGCCAAACGTTTGATGAGTCCCTGAGGCCTGGCTCTGCTTTTGGCTCACATAGGTCATGGGGCCCAGTATTGGGGCCCTGGAAAGCCAGGTCCAGGCTGGCCTTGTTGCTTGAGCCCAACCCGGATTACCACCCTGCAGCCTGGCCTGGCCCTGGCAGGGAGAACAGCGGGAACTGCAGCCTCTGGGCAGGCCGGGAGCCAAGGTCTGTCTCCCCCACACCCAGACTCCCCATACTGGGTGTATGCCTGATACACATACCTGCAAAGCAGAGGCCAGAGGAGGACGTACCATGGACCAGCCCGGCCCCTCTCAGGCCGACAGATGAGGGCTCTGGACTGGCCAGCCCCT